CTTCCTTCCTTCCTTCCTTCCTTCCTTCCTTCCGTGTATGTATCCTCCCTGGTGCTTACAAAGTCATTCACAGTTTCCTGTTTATTTAATTCTTATGTTAGAGTGAGTGGAAGCAGTGTAAGGAAAAAAATGACAAATAAAGCAGGGCCATGCAAATCACATTTTAGTGAACAAAATTAATTTTGAAAATTATGTAAACTCTTCTAGAAGCACCACAAGAAAACCTAAACAGTAACAAACCTAGCATTGTTGGGAGAGATGTAGGTTATTACTCTATATCCTCTTTAAAAGGGAAGATTTCTGTTTATTATTAATTTCCATTTTGAAGTCCTTTTCTAGTAGGAGTGGGAAATGTCCAGCCCGCGGGCCCTATAAGACCCACGAAATATTTTGGCCCTACCAAGGCATTAGGGGTGAGTCAATTAAATATTTGACCAAATATAGCAGGCTAATTTTTAAGTTGATAATTTTGTATGGCCCTGGAATGATGTTATAAATATCCAAATGGCCCTTGGCAGAAAAATAGTGTTCCCCACCCCTGCTAGAGACTTTAACAGAGCGCAATGGGATGATAGAGGAAAAGGCAAAGCTCCTTTACATTGATTTGTACCAGTGGTTCTCAACCTTCTGGCCCTTTAAATACAGTTCCTCATGTTGTGACCCAACCATAAAATTATTTTCGTTGCTACTTCATAACTGTGATGTTGCTACTGTTATGAATCGTAATGTAAATATCTGATATGCAGGATGGTCTTAGGCGACCCCTGTGAAAGGGTCGTTCGACCGCCAAAGGTGTCGCGACCCACAGGTTGAGAACCGCTGATTTGTACTTTACAAAGTTCTTTCTTGGAGAATAACAGGTGAGTCAGTAAAAGCAGGTACTATTAGCCAGGGAACCACTTAAAGAGCCTGAATAATTTTATAACTTTAGCTAATAAATGTGCTCTCACTACTCAGGCTTAGAGATTTATCCTAGCAAGGTAGAGCTGGCAAAAGGGAAGAAATGATGTATCTGGGACATGGCAGAAGTTATTGTGGAAGCAGCAGAATTATTTTATCTATTTGAACATTATACTTGCAGGCTGTGTACAGAGATTCAAATGTTGCCAAGTCAGTGTGGAAGAAGGCAGAGGAAAACAATGGTGGAACCTGAGAAGAACATGTTTCCGAATAGTTGAACATAACTGGTTTGAAACCTTCATTGTTTTCATGATTCTCCTTAGTAGTGGTGCTCTGGTGAGTGAATATTAAGCAAAAGTGGTATAATCTAAGTTTTAGAATAATCTAATACCAATGACTAATAAGTCATTAACCCTTTCTGTTGCATTGTTTTAGTAAATGGCACATTTCCCCCTCAACCTTCATTGTACATCCACTTTCATTTCCACAGCATCAGCCATCACCCCCATTTAATTAATCCCTAACTGTTATCTCTGCTTATGACTTCTTCCTGGAACATAAATACATCTCTATATCAACCATCCTACCCTTGAACCCGTTTCCAAGGCATTTTTAATTACCCCCATTTCATATCTTCCAGACTATAGACTTAATGTATAACTATTTATTTCTGAATTTAATATATATATTTCTAATAAGTTATTTAATTTTTGCTTATTCAGTAACCCAGAAAATTTCTCCCTCCAGTTTATTCATTATAACCAAATAATATGAATATTTAATTACTTATATTTTAATAAGAAAGTAAGCATGGAAGTTACAGTGAAGTTAATGATAATCCTGTGATTTGGAGTTTATAACTTTTAAATCCTGGTGAATTGTGTTTCTGAATGGTATTATCTCTTTATGGACAGTCAGTAAGTCCTTAGGAACCACTTCTCTGACCCTTTTGAATTGTGTAACTATTCTTATGCTATTTAGGAAACAATGAATATTGGTAACAAATATTGGTCAGTGTGCCTAAGTGAGTCATTTACGGATTGGTTTCTCTTTATATGAAGACTTCCTTTACATCAGAATAAATTTACATTTATATAAAAATAAATTACAAAAATATAAACTGTAACATATAGATAGCATTTCAGAAAAAACACTAACACAAATGGAATACTTAAGCCATTAGATAGATGATAGATAGATGATAGATAGGTAGATAGATAGATGGATCTTAATGTTTCTTTAACTTAAGTTTATAATTAGAATATAGGCCTATATTTTCTGCATACTTCTCTGATAAACTGAATTTCTTTATATACTACTATAAGACAAGAAATAATATTTTACCATTGAAATAAATGTAAGACTTTGATGTGAAATATCAAGAGAGGTTCATAATAGAAGAATACATATTGTGGTCTCAATAAGAAGTAATTTTATCTAAATGAGAAGTAATGTAGACTAGTAATGTGTCAGACCTTGTCTTTGCTGAGAAATATAAACTATCAACAAAATGAAGGGGGAAAGGGACAAATGAACCAAACCAGTAAAATTGGACAATGTGATTATCAGTTACAATTCTACTTTATGTAAAATATAAGCTTTACTTTTCATTTCTTCAACCTCCTTTCAGTAGCAAAAAGCCAACAAGGGGAAGCAAAAGAAATCAAACAAAAGGAATAAATAACTTCAAGCTGGGGTAGTACTATCAGGATATGACATCAAGAACTATTTTCTAATAAGTCAAATTAATTCATAAATATTTACTTTTTTTCTTTCAGCTATATTATAAAGAGAGACTATAACTTTTCCCTTGATTCATTAAAAGATCTTAAAGAGGAAAAAAAAGCAATAGCTATTGTTCCTCTGTCCTCCTATTCCAATTGAATATTATACATATATATGTATATATACTTATATATATACATATATATGATCAGAAAAAATAGCTTATAGAGTACAATGGTTTTAGAAATCTAAAATGTATAACTTTTTCTTACAGGCATTTGAAGATATATATATTGATCAGCGAAAGACAATTAAGACAATGTTGGAATATGCTGATAAGGTTTTCACTTACATCTTCATTCTGGAAATGCTTCTAAAATGGGTGGCTTATGGCTATCAAACATATTTCACCAATGCCTGGTGTTGGCTGGACTTCTTAATTGTTGATGTAGGTATTCTCCATATCTTTGTCTTCCATTAAAGGTAGTTTGTGTTATGTATATGCTAATTCTAAAATAGTGAGTCTCTGACCACTATGTTGTGTTGACGGGATGTGCTACATAATAGTCCCTAAACTAATTCACTGAATGTAACTGTAGTTTTTGTAAGAATAGGCTAATTTAGTAATGATTTAGCATTGGAAGGATGAGATTTATGGTGATTATCTAGGAAACAGCTGAATATAAAAAACAGCACTTTGTAGGGACAGTGGTAAAATTGGGCATGTTGTTTAAATTTCTTATGTTGTGAATCAGGCAGATGGGCTTGAATCCCAGCCCCACTTCTATTTGGTTGTATGCCAGTGCGAAATGTACTTGGCTCCTAACTCTGTAAATGATTATATTAGTACATACGGTCTTAAAGGCTCTCGATAAACAGTCATGATAATGGGAGCTCCTGTCAATTTTTAAAATTCTCTTTGATCTACTCAAAGTTTTTAAAGGGTAGGTTTAAAGAGTATATAATACTAGAGGCCCAGTGCATAAAATTCGTGCACGGGTAGGGTCCCTAGGCCTGGCTGGTGATCAGGGCCAATCTGTGGGGCGACTGGCTGGGTGATTGGGGCCCCTGCCTCGCACCCGCCTTGGCTGGCCTGGTACCGCCCACTCACCAGCCCCGCCCCCCGCTGCTGCTGTCGGTTGGGGCCTGCAGGCTTGGGGCAACTCCTGCGTTGAGTTTTCCCCCTGGTGGTCAATGCGTATCATAGCAACTGGTCGTTCCACCATTTGGTCGATTTGCATATTAGGGTTTTATATAGATAGATGGCTTATAACTTTATTAAAGGAGGTAAGGTACAGAGTATAGGGAAAATCTATTTCATACTAGTAATGTACCAGACCTTCACAGATTTCTACACCTAATGATTAATAATACTTCATTTGCCCTAAAAGAAATTACTGTCCTAAAATTTGTTAAAATTAAACATCAGGTTTCATATTATCAATTTGGCATAATTTCAGCTTTAGAAAAGTGTATCCAAAATATCACAGATTTCATAGGTAACAGTTTTATCCCAAAAAGATAATAGTCCAGCAGAAAGATGCAGGCTTCTTGTGGCAAGTATTTCTAGGCTAAGAGTCCTGCATATATTATATCTTCTTAATTCTAAACAAAGGCAAAGCCAGAGCTATTTGAAAAGGTTAATAATGTTACTATGAAATTAGTAAATTGAGAGAAAACCTCAAAAAAATTGCTTCATCATATCATAGAGAGAAATAGTTTCTAATATTAAGGTTTCAAACATTGGAAGTTATATTTCAATTCTCACAATTATTACAAGTTGGTTTTTAATCATCATTTATGATATATTTTAAGAAAATAATTCTCTAGAGCATTTTGTAGTTTTGTAATAATGATACTTTTATTTTTCAATGTTCTATTTTCATTATTTCATATGGATTAGCAAATCACTCTAAAAAAGACAAAAGGAATTATAGTAAATCTAAAGTAATATAAAAATTATAATAAATACTAGAGGCCCAGTGCATGAAATTCGTGCGGCGGGGGGGAGGGGGAGGGCATGTCCCTCAGCCCAGCCTGCACCCTCTCCAATCTGGGACCCCTCGAGGGATGTCTGACTGCTTGTTTAGCCGGGATCGGGCCTAAATGGGCAGTCGGACATCCCTCTCACACTCCAGGACTGCTGGCTCCCAACCGCTCGCCTGCCTGCCAGCCCGATTGCCCCTAACTGCCCTCTTCTGCTGGCCTGGTCACCCCTAACTGCCCTCCCCTGCTGGCCCAGTCACTCCTAACTGCCCTCCCTTGCCAGACTGGTCATCCCTAACTGCCCTCCCTTGCAGGCCTGGTCACCCCCAACTGCCCTCCCCTGCAGACCTGGTCCCTCCCAATTGTCCTCCCCTGCAGGCCTGATTGCCCCCAACTGCCCTCCCTTGCAGTGTCCAGTGTATTTGGAACTGCCCAATACTAGCCATTTTCAAATGAATGAAATTGTAACTCTGTTTGGACATGGAGTTTTGGTAAACTCTTTACCAAAGAGAATTGGACACCTAACATTTTTATTTCTTAGTCTTTGTATATAAATTCATTGATTTATTTATTTGATAAATATTTGATTGGCCATTTTGGACCAGGTACTATAGCAGAAGCTGTAAATTAGTATAGAAAAAAAAACTGAGAGTTTCATAGTAAAAGAACATTTTAAGTTACATTTACTTACATAAGAATAAACTTTAAACAAATGAAAACACAACATATTAGCAAAACAAAGAATCCCCTTTCAAAAATAAACTACAAAATCAATGTGATTTAGCACCTTAATTTAGGAGAGTATCAATTATAGTTAGGTGAAGATATGATTGCAGGATAGAGATTTCTTGCTTTTTCTGATGCAATAGCAGTTTTTGTATTTTATTTAGCCATAGGCAAAACCCTATATTCAGCAGTGACTTAATAAAATAAAGGAAGGATAGCCAATGACATTTTCTTACACTTAGATGTCTTTCTTTGTTAAATTAATTTTTATTTAGTTTTTAAAAACTAATTGGTCTACTAACATATTAATTGAACAATTAATAAATTACATGGCATTTGAGGTGTTTTTATTCAACTATCTTTTAATTAACATATTAAAAGCTACTTTTTTCCATCAGACTGAAAATATTTCCTTAAAATTTGTTAAAGGTTTACTGAAAATATGCAACCATTTATCTTCTGAGTAATTATAAGCAAAATCATATTTGTTGAATGACATAGTAACTAAAAATTGAATGACAGTTATCTTTGTGTTTGTTTGTTTATTGGTGCAGGTTTCATTGGTCAGTTTAACAGCGAATGCCTTGGGTTACTCCGAACTTGGTGCCATCAAATCTCTCAGGACACTAAGAGCTTTGAGACCCCTAAGAGCTTTATCACGATTTGAAGGGATGAGGGTAAGGAAACTGAAAGAACCAGAAGTATAGCCTATAGCCAAAATTAAATTATATTGAGTTTTAAAAAGGAAAAAACCCATGCATGCAAAGGAATGGCAAATCCTTGCAAAATTGCTACTTTATCTTTTTATCTGTTGCATATTTACTTCTAGGTGATATGCAAGAGAATTTAGGCCTCCCTAAAAATGATACAATATCATTTATCTGCTGTGCTTATTAAAATGACTTTATTTCCTAATCTATCTTGGGAGTTTCCTTACAAACCTGTATACAAAAAAGCAAATGCACTATTAAAATACTGTGTGTAACGATATGATAATAATCAACTAAAGTGAATTTGACATCATGTGCTTCTCATTGTGATGATCTAAACTGTACTTTATGAGTTTTACTGAAAATAATATGAATCACACATGTGCCTAAGAATAAGCAAAAAGAAAAAATTGACAGTTTTGTCTGTATAATGCCAAAGCTTGCATTATTGTAATATTTTCAAGGGTAGATATTAAATATTGACTAAATTTTAAACTTTTTAAAAAAGTTATGTTTAATATAGCCTCAATTTATAATTGCATTAATCTTCTTAATTTATACAAATAGTAATAGTAACTTAAAGATTTTATATATAAATCCACACAATTTTTCATGACAATGTGGTAAAACATTTACAGCATAATGAACAGAAAATGTAATTTTTACTCATTACATAGATGATTTATAAATTAACCATAACTTAAATCTCATTTATCAGAATTACACAAAACTTTATATTACTTCTTCTAAGGAAATACTAAACCATTCCCTATGGTTTATAACAGATTAGAAATTTTGTTGTTATTTACTTGTTAATTTTCCAGACCTTTTTAAAAAGCATGAAGCACTTACATATGATATATAGAATAGAAAGTAGTTATTTATTAAAAAATCAATTTTTAACCAGAACAAAGATTTTTAATTAGGAAAAAATATTGCTCTTTTATTGACTAAGATTTAGTTATGTTTGTAGAATCTAAGCAGACTTGTCTTTTTCCACTTGCATTTTCTAGATTGTTGATAGCCTTATAATATGTTCTTCTAAAATAAAATTTTTTTAAATGTCACTTTTTAAGAACATAAGACTTGTCTTCAGTTTCCTAACATATATAAATAATTCCCTCAGTAGAAACAATTTAACACAATATAATATAGTCTTATTTTATTTCTCACAGAGATCCTTATGTTTTTACTAAAACATTAAAGTAAATTCTCTCCAGCGTATGTAAAAATTAAGTTTATTTTCCAATTAAATGTCACTTTCTATTGTTTTATACTGCCAGTGTCAGTTCTGGAGAAAAATATTACTTTAATACATTCTACTTGAAAACTTGTCACCTGAATCAAAGTATAGCAGTTCCCCTTTATTCGAGGTTTCACTCCATGGTTTCAGTTATCCATGGTCTGAAAATATTAAATGGAAAATTCCAGAAATAAATAACTCATACATTTTTAATTGTGGGCCATTCTGAGAAGGCACACACCATCCAGCTATGTCCCACCCAAGACATGACTCATCTCTTTGAATAGAAAGATAGTCACTTAGTAGCCTTCTTGGTTATCAGACTGACTGTCACGGTATCATAGTGCTTGTATTCAACTAACCCTTATTTTGCTTAATAAGGCCCCCGAAGCTCAAGAGTAGTGATCCTTACAGGGCGTGTTTCCTTCAAGTGTAAAGAGCAGTATAGTACAGTAAGATATTGTGAAGAGAGAGACCCCATTCACATAACTTTTATTATAGTATGTTGTTATAATTGTTCTATTTTATTATTAATTATTGTTGTTAATATCCTATTGTGCCTAATTTATAAATTAATCTTTATTCTAGGTTTATATGTATAGGAAAAAACACAGTGTATATAAGGTTTGGTACTACCCTTAGTTTCAGGCGTCCACTAGGGGTCTTGGACTGCATCCCTCCCAGATAAGAAGAGACTACTGTCATACGTTTTAACTGTCTCCTGAAATCTAAACAGTGCTAAGCATTTGAAGATGTTATAAACATTTTGAAATTGACCATGAATCAAATGGCCAGATACTCCTGTATTTAACACTTCATTTTTGTAACAATGTTGGTCTTGTGTATCTACCTGCAATTTTTACAGGAATAACCTTACCTATACTTTTTGATCGATGAGGCTTTTTATAATATAAGGAGAGATTAGTTTTTGAATCTTTGAGTTTCAAAAGCATAAACTCCTTATAAATACTGATGGAAGATGAACTTAACAGATTTATGAATATGGTTCCTTGCCTCATAATGACAGCATATACACAACCCTAAAATGGCTGATCATTTCAGTGTGTATTTGGCATTGTAGAGACAAAATAATCTGATTATAGATTCTGTTTTTCTGTGTTTCTAAGTGTTTGGATCTTTTGACTTTTTATAAAATGTAATCATGGATGGTGGTGAGGATGGAGATAATAATGATAATGATAATTGGGAAGTGAGATTGGAATATACGTAGAAACTCTCATTTTATTCTTTTTCCTAGCAGCATAAAATCACAATAGCTGTGTAAAAGCGTAAATCAGCCATTCATTTTCTTTTTGTTGTCTTGTCACATTTTCAGAGCATGTGCTTTTATGCGACATTACCAAGGAAAGCATGTTGCACAATGCTTGATAGGAAGTTAGAAAGTAATAAACAAATTATCATCACGTTGCACTTTATGTTTTGCATGTTTTATGCACATTCTGGCTGAGAGCTTTTCAACATTTATTGTATTTCAAATTTCCAGTCCAAATTTTTCAACTTGTAAAATTGAACTGAGTGAATTGATGTCATGACTATCTAGAGTAAAATAAAATTTGTACTTAAATTTGTGTTCTTAATTTCCTAATCTAGGAAATGGTAAAGACCTTTTTCAAAAGAACTCAAGTCTTGATTGATAGGGAAACAGACAGAGAGCATCATAAAAAAAAGTAACACCAAATGTTCTGTCATATCAGATTTCTAACTAATAACAAACTATATATTTCTATTTTATATAGGATAATCTTGCTCCAACTTGGATGGGGTGGAGCGCTGGTTCCTCCCCTCAGCCCTTTATTATGGGTACTGTATTACCCCTTTTGCTACCTTTCATCCTTTCACTGTGACTTTGTGTAGTGGGATGAGGGAGGGATTGGGAAGGGTACCACAGTAGGGAAAATATAGTATTTACATTCTAATTCCCAATTTTCAACTGTCTTGAATTTTCTTTTGAGAAAAGTAGCTTTGAGTATTTATTTACCCTCTGTGGATTTGAACCCCAATCGTTGATGTTTTTATTAAGTTTCATTGAATATGGTTTAGTTATGTGTATATTGAGCTATCTATTGATGGGGAGATTGACTGATTGGTGATGGTGGGGGACCTTGCTTTAGAAGGATTGGGTGAATATTTTAACTTGTCAAGTTCATGATGCTCTTTGAGACATAAAACCCTTGCCATTGTTTGCATTGGTCTGGGTCCTGAAAATTGCCAGCAGTTGATTCCTTGCCTTGTTGAGTTACATGAGCAGATGCGAGGGTACAATATTTCTGGTTTCTTAAGATTGGTATTGACTGTGTGACCATTCTCACTTTTGTATTAAGTGTAAGTTTATAGAGTTACTTTAAAAATGTAACAAGGCAAAAATATATTATGAAAGAGTTGAGTTAGCACATGTGATTTATATTTTAAATGAAACTTAACATACAGGTACTTTTTTGAATTATGTAGACTAACACACCCACCTAAAAATAAAACAAACTGATTTCTTAGCATGTGTGTTAAGATAAGATGTTTAAATTAATAAATTTAAATTAAATATTCATTAAATGTAGATGTATTAATTAAATGAATTTAATACAAGAACTCACTTTTAGAATAAGATCCAACTAACTGCTTAGGATCTTAGAAGACATCACAGTAAAAACATAAATGAAAATAAATCTACATTTTATGTATTCCTAAAGTTTAGAAATAATGTACAAGAAGGAGAGTTTTTATTTTTGAGGCAAAAAAAGGTTGGAGTATTTTCATGGATAATTGATGTATCATATCTTTCAAAAATAATTACCTTGATTAAATTCCACAACAAATATAGTCATTAGATTTTAAAAAGATTATCTGACTCTTCTTCATGCTTAATAATGTGTGATTTTTACTTTACCTACTTTTATTTTTTTATTCATGTAGTTATTTTGTATTTGGATTAGAGAAACTTTAGAATCCATGAGTAGTATTGATTTCAAGTTCAAAGTCAATTCGTTCAGACAAGAACACATTTCTGCATGTATCAGAATTCCTCACATTAATTTGCATATTAAATTGTCAAGTCCTCATTTCATATTGATTTAATCAAAACTGCAGATAAGGAATCAAAAATAGAGTTTTTATAAGAATGGATTGTGCCAGAATAGTGAAATTGCATTTGATGATGTTTTACAAAACATTTGTGAGAAGAAGCAACCTCTAATGTTAATTCCTTTCTTAGATATCTCATTTTACACAGCCTGAAACCTCAATCCGTTCTTTCCAGTGTATTCAGGCTAGTGCTGCCTAGCGCCTTTACCAAATGGGAACCAATTACTGCAGTTCCCTGGAGGCTGGAAAGAGTTAATACACCTCTTTCTGTCCTGAACCAAGAACTGTCTTGAGGCTCTTGGGAAAGACAGTCCTTTCCCCCCTGCTCCTTCATTGCCCACTTTAATAAAATTTTGAATATGAATGGACCTTTGTATAGTAAATTCCCTAATACTAGTGGAATATTTTCTTACATATAGTTATTTTACCTTCATAAAAATAAACTTTTTCTCTGGGTTAAATGTATGCCAACATTGTAATCATGTCTGAAAGGCAGTGCTGCGGAGCACTTGTACCATAAATGGATTAATTTTAATGCCAAACAAGTCCTCTTTTTCAAAGTAAATCTCTCAAACATATTAACTAACCCCCAATTTTTTGTTGTACCCAGCTCTTTATTCTCATTTCATATCCACAATGAGCATTTAACAATTATGCTTTGATCAATAAATGCTAAGCTAAACTTCATTCATTCATTCAATGAACCATTTTTATATTCCTTTATTCAAAGCACTCTGTTATATTCCTATTTTCACGGCACTCAAGGCCTTGGAGAATTCACAAATATATTTTTCCATCTTAAATTTTAAAAAAATAAAAAGCATGCCATCATTGAGGATTATTAGAATGTAATGAACTCTAATGAAGAGCAATATGTGTACCAGATAAGTGCAAGAACTCTAAGGAGAATTAGTGAAGTTGAGTGCAAAGAGCACTAGATGGTACTTCTTTCTAGTCTTCTTTCTGAACTTGACCTACCTTAGCCTCATTCTTCTCATTTACCAAATGAGAACACAATACTAAATTATTTCTATGGCCCTGACCAGCACTGGAATTCTAATTCTGGAAGTCAAAAGAGGAAACATTCACCTTTATTTTGGAAGCTAAACTGAGGGGGTAAAGTTAGGCTCCATGAAAAAAAAAGTGCTGCTTGAAATAAAGCTTGGAAGAAGAAAGAGTATCTAAGTAAAGAGGATTTTGGACAAGAAATGGCAACTCAGTTCTAGGGTAATAATATTAGTTGGATTGTCGTGAAGAGTAGGTGGCTAGCAAATTTAAAACTAGAAATGTAGATTGTAGAGTATTTTTAATATCAAGGTAGAGACATTTTTGATAATGAGTGGGAAGCCATTAAATAATTTTAAAGTGAGACTTGGAGAAGATTAATTCCTCTTACATGGATCAAAGGAAGGAGACATTAGAAGGCTCTAATGATAGTGCAAGTATAAGCTCTCAGAGGCCAGAACTAGGATGGTGGAGGTGAAAATGGAAAAGAAGTGACAGAGGTGATAACGGTTTTGAAGAAGTATGACACCTACAGATTGATATGGAAAGAAATAGGTGTAGGTAACCATTGCTCTGGTCATGCTCTAAATTGGCTGTTGGTAAAAATATACATTTTAACATGTACTCTCCTGTGTGCACAATAGAAATAGCTTTTTTATCTGGATGGTAGGCAAAATATTTAGAAAAAAGAGGCAAGAAATAATAACTTGACTTCAGCTTTCAAATTCTGAATCCAAGAGAAATCTAAGTGTATCCACATATTTAAAACAAAGTATAAAATAAATATTTTTTCAATCAATTACATTAATGCAGAAAGCCAAATGAGATAAGGCAAGGTGCCATGGGTCAATGAGAGTAGGCTGCATAGATGACATCATTCGGATCTGCCTGGATAACTCGACTGATTTTACTTTTTCATGCTCATGTCTCCACCTTTGTCATTAGTGGTTTTATCATATCCTTTGGCCCACTTATTACACTATTTTGTAACCCCAGAAGGCCTACGGTTATTTACACATTTTAATAAGTCACTAAATATCAGGGTTCAGAAGCATCTGGAATTCGCTATGTTTTTTCAGAAACTTTGCTCTAAAAATACGCTGACATCCTATGGCCGATAGAGGATATTTTGAAGCCTGTTGTTTGCTTTGGATCAGATTGACAAGAATACTGAGATTCATAGGTAGAATTCACTTAGCTATTAATGTTCAAGTCTGAGGTGCCATCTGCCACTGAGGAGCATTGTAGGGGCTGCTTTCTTTTCCCTCTTAGCTACTCACATACAGCTCCAATGGGAACTGTGGAGGGGGAAGCAAGGACAGTCATCTCTACAATGTTGCCAAATATGAAAACTCAGATTTTGAATTTATGATAAAGAAATAAAGACAAGGGGAGAGAACATGTTTCAGTAGGAAAGAGTAGATAATTAGCACAGAACCTGATGTAATCACATCAGATTTGGGAAATATATATGGCATCCCTCCTTTTCTTATTTTCCTAAGAAACTGATTTCTATTATGTTTCATTTAAAATAAGTTTATTGAATTAAACTCAGTAAATGAAACAACTGACATGACTGGAGCTTGAAATAAAGATGTGATGATCTAATGAAATACATAATGCTAAAGTGTCTTGCTTCTTCTGCAAAAATTATTAGTCATAGCAATGCATGAATAATTAAGGACAAAATTATGTTAGGTATTTAATATTTTTATACTTATATATCTTAAATTTTAATTAATTAGAGTATATTGGTCAAATCAACTCATCCAAATATTTTAGTTTTGTTTTTTAATATATTGCCTTTTTAAAAATGAGTTAGTCTGTATTAGGATTTCCTACTTCTCTTTTTTTTCTCTAATAAACGGCACATATTCTGACTTCCTCTGGCAGCAAATTCCTCTAATTTTGCTTTTCCTTTAACTTTTGAGTACTTCCCCTTCTCTATTTTTAAACTTTTTGTTTCTTTGTCATATTATCTATATTTGTTTCCCTAAATGTATTGCTTAAGAAATAATAGATTTTATTGTAAGATTTTTTTACTTTACTTTTCCAGTATAAGCTCAATACTGAAAAATTAAAGATTGGTAGGGGGATGTCTTATTTTCTTAACCAACAAGAATTCTGACTTTTCTTTTTTTCCATTTGTGTATTAGGTGGTTGTGAATGCCCTTTTAGGAGCAATTCCATCCATCATGAATGTTCTTCTGGTTTGTCTTATATTCTGGCTAATTTTCAGCATCATGGGTGTAAATTTGTTTGCCGGCAAATTCTACCACTGTATCAACACCACAACTGGTGAAATATTTGACATCAGCGACGTGAACAATCATTCTGACTGCCAAAGGCTAATAGAAAGAAATGAAACTGCAAGATGGAAAAATGTGAAAGTAAACTTTGATAATGTAGGATTTGGGTATCTCTCTTTGCTTCAAGTTGTAAGTGAACACTCTTTTTCTCTGAAATTTGTTTATTGTTTGGAATAATAACAAAGTAATTACCTATATCCATTATTTAGCTACTGAAGAAGAAAGTTTATAACATTTATTTTTCTAATTTTGTTTTATTAGTACCAGTTTATGAGCCCAAGTGGGTGGAAACTCTATATACTTAAGCAATACAGAATAGTTGATAGTGGCCAGGTATTTCAGTTCATTCCTAAGGTCTTTTTCTCTTTCTTCTCATATTGCTTTCTCTTCCCACATGAAAAAGTTGATTAATACATCAATAAGTTTATTATTTTTTCTATTGCAATTGAAAAGCTTGTTTTCACTGAGGGATCACCTCCCCCCCCCCCCCCGCCCCCGCCACACACACACACCCAAAAGCACACAGACTCAATACACCTGATTAGACTGACGCTGGTGGGCATTAACTGCTACTGAGTTGTATCATTTGGATTGAAGATCAGGGAATGATATTCAGGTTTTAGGATCAGATTCTCACAATGAAATGGAAATAATAGCGGATAATGCCTGGATACAGAAAAGAAACATAAGCAGCTGTGGTTACACTTCAAATGACCTTTCAATACAGTTACTTAAGTCTATTTTATCATACTAGTAATGTTTTCACTCCTGGGTCTCTAAGACTGACTCATACAAAATAAAAATATAATTTATGAAAATGCAAAAGATGGTGGCCCTTTAAATATTTTCCTATGATGCTGCTTTTAGCTGCAGCTGCATATCAACAAAGCAGTGGATAACGGCTGCTGAAATGCCACTTAAAATTTTTAAAAGTTGAGTAAGTTCTCCCCTTGTGATTTTACAGAGTTCTTAAGGCAGAAGTCTATTTTTTTTCATCAAGGTTATGATTTCAGTTGTTCAGCTGAAGACTAGATAAGCAAACAAACCTACACTGGTCTCTTGCATCTCTTTCAGAGGTGTCTGTACTACTATTTTTTACACATTCTTCCCACCTTCTTGTTAGAATTCTTATTTCTCTTGTGGATATTGCTGACTTATTCTGAATGCTCATGCAATTAAAATAAATTAAAACAGGGATTTTAAAAAATCTGGTGTGTATGATTTATTTAAATATTATAGTAGACACATTATATTTCCTTGGGCATTTAGCCTAACCATTTACTAATGGCCACACTTGTAAAAGTGTCTCACTTCATAAAATTGAGAAAATAGAATTTAAAAACTTCAAGGAATTCCTTAAAATTCTGAAAATATAGGATAATGAAACTGCACAAAACTATAAAATAAATTCTGCTCTTTAAGAAACTAAGTTTTATACTTAGCTTTAAGCAGAATTGCCTCTCTGTTGTTTAGTAATTCACTGAAATGGTTCCTTGAATCACCTTTCTCTGTTTATGTTCCTAGTGTGTGATGGATATGTTCTATCATTGACCTCAGCCATTGATACATTCAATATTTCCCTCTTTGATATACAAATAACTTCTATTTTCTAGCTAAGAGTCATTTCATGATCTTCACAGCCATCATACCCACCATTGTGTGGCTTTCTTCCTACAATATCCACCACTTCACAAGTGTTAGTGTTATGAAAATATATGTGTATTGTGTTGCAATACAGATGCTGAAAGCTTAGTTAAATTACTTGCTAACAAACAATCCTCTCAGGCTCATAGGACTCAAAATTTATATCGTGGGACAAATAACAAATTGCTATAAGTTATTAGACTCAGGATTCTTCTTGAATTTATGAATGCCAACTGTCTACTGTACATTTTTCACCTTTCTTGTGCATATTAACTCACTCTCATAAAAAATTATATAGAAGAATGTAATATAGGATTATTTCTGGATGTTATATTTCAAAATTCTTAAAAGGATAGTTGCAACTCTGACTTTATACACAGGGGTGGGCAAAAGTAGGCTTAGAGTTGTAATACAAATAAATAATACAATGATTAATAAATACTACCAGAAAAACTCTGTTTCCTATACTCATAACTGTAAACCTACTTTTGCCTACTCCTGTATGTGTGTGTATATATATATATATATATATATGATCTTTAGTGTTACAAATAAAGAGAAATCTTAAACTTTTGGATACTTTGATCACCTTACAGATAGATTTCAGTAGATGATCAGATCATTGTAATTGTTTTGCTGCTACAGATATTGCCAAATGTGGTGGTATTCGTAAAGCTTTCTAAAAGCATTCTTCCAAATTTATCCCTAACTGGTTTGGCTCAGTGGATAGAGCATCGGCCTGCAGATTGAAGGGTCCCAGGTTCGAATCCGGTCAAGGGCATGTACCTTGGTTGCGGGCATATCCCCAGTAGGGGATCTATCCCTCTCTCTTCCTCTCTGTAAAAAATCAATAAAATATAAAAAATAAATAAAAAAAATAAAAGTATTCTACCAAATTTTGATAGCACTTTAAATTGTATGATTTTATTAACTCTAAAGAATTGAGAAGTATTTGTGATTAGATATCACAAGTATTTGATATCTAATGACCATTTTGTTCATTATGTGTTCTAGAAATGAAAAGACTTACTTAGATATTGTGTTGTTCCAAAACCCATGTCAAATTTGTTTTGAAAGTCTTTTGAAAATGTTCCTTTGTAAAAAATACATAAGTGAGAATATTTATTATAAGTTAGATCTCAATTATTTTTATGCCAAAGTAAAGCATATGTGTCCTTTTTTTATAGGCCACATTTAAAGGATGGATGGATATAATGTATGCAGCAGTTGATTCCAGAAATGTAAGTATTTTGTATATACTTTTTTAAATAATATTTGTTAGGTGCTAAAATTAATTCAGCAGAGTATTGCAATCAAATGGAATGATTCTACAATGATTAAAAAAATAAAGGGAAAAGTATGACTCAAATTAATATTCAAGTATACCAATGTTTATAAAAAAGATCTTACAAAGATCAATCAAACTATTTTGAAAGGCAAACTGAAATAGCATATTCATATATTTAATAACTAACAAATATCTTTCTATTAAATAGTTCCTATTTTTATCCTCTTATCTACTAATTATATAATCAGTAATAATTTTGGTGTGCAGGAGCAAATGTGAAAATATATGTGATTGCCAACTACTGTCCAAATATCAAGAGGTTGAAATATATAGTTACTCCCCATATTGAATGGTATGAAAGTTTGAGATGTTGTTGTCCAGGCAACTTTAAATTTCTATAACAGTTCCTTTCAAATTAATTCTTTTATATGATTTTAGTATCCATACTTTACTAATGCTGTTATCACTTCTATGGCCAACAGATACCTTTAAGTGTATATCACCAAAGTAAAGACCTACTTTATTTGATTTCTCCTACCACAGCCTCTTTCCGGCCTCAAGAAAAGAACTAATATCCACGCTCATTCCAACTCAAACTTTGCAAAATTAAGGTTTTCTAAAAGCCTTGATTTTTTATTCTGAAGCCCAATCTGTTTAGTCTATCATTATAGACTGTCCCGATAATCTTTAAACTGACCTGATAGACCTCACTTTTATCTTTCTTCAGATGCACTTCCCCTAAGTGGCTTTGGTTTTATGTTAAGTATCATCCTGATATGCTCCAGAGTTGTGTTATTTCACTTGGTTACTTATTATTTTGTTTTGTGTTTTTGGTTGGCTTTTAACTCTATTGTCTTTAGAAGGACATAAACCTATGAGTGAACTATCCATAATGACTTCTTTACTCCTTTACTAAGTGATAGATAATAGTTCAATGCTAATTTACAATAAGCACAATCTAGATATTAAATTATCAATTGAAGATTTATAAGATGGAGTTCTAGTTATATCTACTAAATCTGAAAAATTCAGTGAATGTTGTAATGTTAAAGATACGATGCTGAAAATCTAAACGAATAATTCAATTCTTGTTTGCTGAATAAATTCATGTATGCACAAATGGTTGCTTCTAAACATTGTATACATATTTACTCAAGTAAAACTTTTTCACTAATTTTTAAATTATTAAAATTCAGTGCCTTAAAAATTTTTCCAAATTTTGCATACTACTGTCCAAATATTAAGATGATAGTTGTATTTACATTTATAAAAATAGATCCTTAAGTGTCCTGATAACCATATTTTTTTACATGAAGACATCCTTAAATGCCACTTTCAGAGATTTTTTTAGAAGTAGTTGATACAGAAAGAAAAGAAGTACTGCTTAAGTATTACTACGAATTTTCTTTTCTATTCTCATGAAAAAGTACCAATGACTTCTAGTCTCAATATGTATTGTGATATTTTACAAAATATTTTCCTTTGGTAGGTGGAATTGCAGCCTAAGTATGAAGAAAGTCTATACATGTATCTTTACTTTGTTATTTTCATCATCTTTGGGTCCTTCTTCACCTTGAATCTGTTTATTGGTGTCATCATAGATAATTTCAACCAGCAAAAAAAGAAGATAAGTATTTCTAATATTTTCTCTCTCACTAAAGATAGTAAAATTATTTGAGGTATTCTCGCCACCAAAGTATACTTTAATTCAGAGACCAAATGGGTGTGTATAAGAAAGTCTTTTTTTGTATCCTCTCCCTTGCCATCCACTGCTCACACCCCTGGGAATAGGTTTACAAATCCTCTCTCCCTTCTGGTGTTGTTGTTGTTTTTAATCAGAAACTAAATTTTCTATCTTTTGAAAGAGAATATTAGAAAGGAACCCAGGCATATGCCCTTTTCCCAAAGTCAATTTGTTGTTTTATCCTTGCAACTCCCCTCCTAAAAATACATCTTCCAGCTAAAGCCCTTCATTGGTTCCTTTTATATATTTCTACTTCATTTTTCCTGATATTTAATGATAAACTACCAGTTCCCATATTGAATTAAACAGCTCTTTATATTATTATCATCTTTCCAAATATATATGCACATTATAGAAAATATGGAAAGTAAAGAAATATCATTACTCATGAGTAACCACTATTCACATTATATGTTTTCTGTTCAAATTTTCTCTATACAGATTCTTGTTATTGAAATTATTTTATCTATAATTATAAATTCTCTTTTTTATTATACTTAAGTATTTTGTTAAGTCTTCATATACACATGATCATAATTTACTTAACCACTTCCCATAATATTAATGATTCTGGTTGCTTCTAATCTTTAATGATTTAAATAGTGTCTTGTCAAAAGTTTTTGTGGGGAAAACCAGTTTTAATTATTCCAGTAAGATAAATTCCCAGAGTAAAGTAGTTTGCTTTCCCAAAATAACAATCCCACTTACACTGCCAATAGCTATGTACAGGTGTGCCCAGGTCACAGCTGCTTCAATAACATCAAACACTCTTTGTTTTTACTACTTGATATTTGATAAATTAAATTAGTATTTCATTTTATTTATTTATTTTTTTTGTTGTTGTAAATCCTCACCTGAGGATATTTCCCATTGATAGAGTGAGTGGAAGTGAGGGGAAGAGACAGAGAGAGAAACATCAAAGTGAGAGAGACATCCATTGGTTGCCTCCTGCATGAGCCCCAACCAGGGTCAGGGATTGAGCCTGCAATTGAAGTATGTCCCCTTGACTGGAATCAAACCCAGGACCCTTCAGTCCATGGGCCAATACTCTATCCATTGAGTCAAACTGGCTAGGGTTTATTTTACCTTTGTCTTTTATTGGTAGGTTTGAATGTGTTTTCAAGTGCTTTTTTGCCATTTATTTTCCTTTCTTTGTGTATTGCTCTTTCATCTCATTTGCTCAGTATATTTTCTTATTCTATAACTAGAGGCCTGGTGCACGAGATTCATGCACTCACGGAAGTCCCTCAGCCCGGCCTGTGCCCTCTCGCAGTCCAGGAGCCCTCAGGGGATGTCTCACTGCCACACTGCTGCTAATGCTCCTTCTGTGGGAGCAAACTGACCACCAGGAGGCAGCTCCTGCATTGAGCATCCTCCCCCTGGTGGTCAGTGCGTGTCATAGTGACCAGTTGTTCCACTATTAGGTCGATTTGCATATTAGCCTTTTATTATATAGGATATTGAAAATAATAAAGTCAATTTCAGATGATTGTGAGAATTAAATAGGATTATAGTACCTAAAATGTACTTTTAATTTTTCAAATTTTAAGTCCCAGGCATAATTATCCTAACTGGTTGAAGTTTGCATTTCCTTTTTTAACTACCCCTTTCCTATTTTAAGTTTATCATTGAAATATTGTGTGCAAAGGGACATAGTTTTAACTAGTTTTGGTTTTTCTTTTCTATACTTTGGAGGTCAAGACATCTTTATGACAGAAGAACAGAAGAAATATTATAATGCAATGAAAAAATTAGGATCAAAAAAGCCACAAAAGCCTATACCTCGACCAGGAGTAAGAAATACCAAATGATATGGGGGGAAAATATACCAAAAACAAAAACTTGCATGGGTTTTCTTACAAGAGAGATAGCAGCTAACGTTTCTAGCCTCAAAGATTTCTTCAATTTTTTAAAACATCATTAATTTATATCTTTTATGGTAATGGTAAAAATTATTTTAAAAAAGAGAGAGACCAAAAATAAAAAAGAAGAAGAAATAGAAAATGTGCTCTTAATTTCAAGGGATTTAGAATTATACAGTTAGAATCCAAACTAAATGGCAAAGGACACAAAATACTAGTAAACTTTCATAATATGCTAGCCAGCAGTTGCATTCTTGAGAATGATGAGTAATATAAACTTTCCCTTGATAAGCCTCAACAGTGGAAGTAGAAATGGGTCAACTGTGTATAGGAAAAATGTAAGATAGAAGATATCCTCAGAGTTCCTCAGTGACCTTGGGAAATGAGCCAGACAATGACTGGCAGTGACTGACAGTGGCAGACCTGGGGAGCAGAACCATGGATCAGTGACAAGGGATGTGAATTTTAAAAAATGTCTTTATTGATTTTTAGAGAGAGAGGAAAAGAGAGGGAGAAAGAAAGGGAAACACGATGTGAGAATAGAACATTGATTAGCTGCCTCCTCTACACCCCCTACCAAGAATGGAGCCCACAACCCAGGCAAGTGCCTTGACAAGAAATAGAACCAGCAACCTTTTGGTGCATGGTAGGATGCCCAACTGAGCACCAGCCAGGCTGAGGATGTGAATTTTTTTTTAATTTTTGTTTTATTGCTTAAAATATTACAAAGAGTGGTACATATGTCTCCTTTTTTGAGGATGTGAATTTTTGACATCAAAGAATAAGGGAGTGCTTTTCTGGTCTGATTATCCCCGTATAGACTCAATCAGAATTCTGTGTCTGACAATGTCAGCAAAGACTGTGTGGTGGAAGAACATCAATACTGCCATAAATGAACTTTAAATGCAAAATGTCCTAGAAATCCCAAGTTCCCTTGAACAGTTCTTTGAGAATAAGACAAATGGAATGTTATTAGATACTGCATTTTGAAATGGATGCATGGTTCAACTGATAATGGGACATTGTGGTAAAACAAAATAAAGCAGATTTCTTACCTTCTTATAAACTTAATACGTTAATATGCATTTGTATTACTATGCAATGTTTCTTATCAGAAATCTCCTTTTGAGAAGAGATTGTTATTCTGTGGAAAACACTTTGGTAAACAGCAATTTAGATAACTGAATTAAAAAAAATTAATGTATTGCCCAGTCGGCATGGATCAGTGGTTGAGCACTGACTTATAAATCAGGAAGTCATGGTTCGATTCCTGGTGAGGGCACAGGCCTGGGTTCTGGGCTCGATCCCCAGTGTGAGGTGTGCAGGAGGCAGCCAATCAATGATTCTCTCTCATCATTGATGTTTCTATCTCTCTCTCTGAAATCAATAAAAATATATTTTTAAAAAGTAATACATTATAAACCACCTTTTACAAAATTCAGGGCCAGTGGTTACTCTGTACAATACTAGGGAGTCAATGGAGAAAGTGTTTCTATAGATGTTAATATGTACAGAAAAACTATTCTGTTGCTAAAAGCATTTCTGTTTCTCTACAGAACAAATATCAAGGAATGGTCTTTGACTTTGTAACCAGACAAGTTTTTGACATAAGCATTATGATCCTCATCTGTCTCAACATGGTCACAATGATGGTAGAAACAGATGACCAAAGTGAATATGTAACTAGCGTTCTGGCACGCATCAACCTGGTGTTCATTGTGCTGTTCACCGGAGAGTGTGTTCTGAAGCTCATCTCCCTCCGCCATTATTATTTTACCATAGGCTGGAATATTTTTGATTTTGTGGTTGTCATTCTCTCCATTGTAGGTAAGAAGTATTTAAAGTCTCTTAAGTTCAGTTCAATAAAAGTAAAAGTGGGAACAATCAAGTTTAAATTAGAGGCCACCCCACCACTCAGAGATAACCACTAAGAAAATGTTTATGTATTTCATCCAGGTGTGTTTGCTTTTCTTACAAAATGAGGCTCCTGCTATACATACAGTATTGTATCCTATTCTGTCCATTCTAGATACTAGGTGTATTATTTGTCAATATAATAAACTTTCATTCATTTGAATTAGAAATGTACTATTAACTGAGATCAAAATGTTTTGAGATGTTGAGATTGAATAGCCTATACATTATCTAGATGGCTCTATTGAGAAGAAGACTAGAAATTTAGTCTGGTATTTAGGAAATACATTGCATCAGAGATATGGACATAGAGCCATCAGCAAGTAGATAGGACTAGAAGTAGATGACAAGAGAAGATAAAGCCTAGAGTGAGAAAATAATAAAAATAAAAACAAAAAATGTTACCAAATTCATATCAGAAGTTCTTTAAGGATATCAGGTAGAGATTTTCTAGATTACTCTGAAAGGGTTTATAGTAATGATGCACAAAGGAGAGTACAGGTGGCACAGGACATTGTTTGATGTTTGTTCAAAACCCTTCAACAGGTCACATGAGCAATAGCTCATCTTGTTAAAGATACAACTCCAGCTCCAGTGAAACAAAGAAGTCTGTCCATGGGACTGAAGCATGCACTCTTTCCTAAACCAGATAATATGATTAGGTCAATATTTAACCATCCAATATGGGGCACCTCTATTGGGAAGATTTTTATGTCATTCCCCTCTCTGAAGAAGTTGGTTGATACCCAATTCATACGTTGTATGTAGCCTTTGATTCCTACACTAATCCCTCATGTAATCCTTTGTGGATAGGGTACTTAAGTTGTATGCATCTCTCTTATTTTTTTTTCTCTCTCTCTCTCTTTCTCTCTCTCTCTCTCTCACACACACATACACACACATACACAATTATGTAGGCTTACTTACCCTGTACAGAATGAGACAGTGTAATTCCAAGACACTTGGTTTCTTGAGCTCCTCTTCAGTACAATTATTATTTCGTTATTTAAATGGTAAAAGGAGAAAGAAACGTAAAAGAAGAGGGCTGAGAGACCAGTATCAGCTACAGGAGACCAAAAAGATCATCAGCCTTAGATTTCTTTATACATACACCAGAGCATCTATAAATAAATATATAAGAACTAGAGGCCCATTGCAGGAAGATTCCTGCAAGAATAGGGCTTCCTGAGGCCGGAGCGAAGCAGTGAAGAAGGGAGCAAAGCCCGCCTCGATTCCTTCCGTCTCCACTGCCTGACTCCCTCCCACCTCTGCCGCCTGGCTTCCTCCTGTCTCCGCTGCTGTCCCGCCCAGCTGCCCGGAGTTGCACATGGGAGGGCTGGATGGAGGCCGGGTGGGTGGCAGATCGCTGCTGTCCCGCCCAGCCACCCCGGGTTGCACATGGGAGGGCTGGATGGAGGCCAGGCGGGCGGCGGATGGCCTGTCCCGCCCTGCCTGCAGTATGTAAATTTAACAGCCATCTTTGTTGGGTTAATTTGCGTACTCTTCTGATTGGCTGATGGGCGTAGCAAAGGTACAGTCAATTCGCATCTTTGTCTTTTATTAGTGTAGATATTATAGAGGAGACTCAGAAAAGTATTAAATTCATGGAGAGATGAAGATAGCATCAAAAACTGCAGATGCTTTTAGATGGTTAAGGACTGAAAAGAGGATATGTGATTTGCCATTTTAAAAGAAAAAAAAGTATATTCATGTAAATTTGTTCTTATACTATTGGCCAATGCTATTCAGCCAGAATTGAGAATTTTAACTTATTTTTTTATAGATTCAGTCTGGAAATTTTAAGTAAGCTAATAAATAGTTTATAAAGTCAAAAAGTACTGTAAAATTTTTATTGAACTGAATGTTGTTTTAACTCAGACTGCCATAACAGAACAGGTCGCTTGAACAACTAAAATTTATTTTCTCAAAGTTCTGGAGATTAAAAATCCAAGATCAAGGTGCCAGCATGGTGGGTTTCTGATGAGAGCTCCCTTCTTGGCTTGTAGACAGCCACCTTCTCACTGTGTCCTCACATGGCTGTGGGGAGGGGGGGCTTGAAAAGGGACAGGAAGCTCTCCAGTGTCTCTTCTTATAATGGAACTAATCCACCATGAAGGCCCACCCTCAGGATCCAATGTAAACCTAATTATTTCCCAAAGGCCTTTTCTCCAAATACCATCACAGGGAGGGTGGTTAGGGCTTTAACATATGAATTTGGGTTTGAAAATATTCCATCTGTTGTAAATATTGAGTTAACTTAATATTGAATGTCAAAATTTTGGTTTATTTATAACCTATATTATATACAATTATATATATACTAGAGGCCTGGTGCACAAAAATTTGTGCACTCGGGGAGGGGGGTCCCTCAGCCCGGCCTGTGCCCTCTCG